CGCGATGTGTCCAGGACCCCATCCTGATGACACACTCATGCTCATCGCTCGGCCATGAGGACAGGTCCAGGTCACAAGGAACCCGGATGTGCGTTGGGGGGAACCAGTACGTCCTGCCGTCATTGTCAACGAGTATTGGGACTTCGCCGAAGGGGTGAACATCGGAGGATTCGTCTCTGTTGAGGGATCAGCGGGAAGTCAGTGGACGATTTGTAGGAGCTGCGATTGAGGGCTGCTGAGCTCTTTAGGAGAGTGGGACTGGTGATGTTGGAATGCTTAACTGGTATGGTGACTGCTGAAGAGTTGGGAATGCGTGTCAGTCATTTTGAGTGGTTTCTTGCGATAGCCAATGTATTTCCATATAATGGTTGCAAACGTCTATGGTCAGTAGTCTGAGCAACTGCAAATGTGATTATAGATTGTATTTGTAAAATACTTGAAGCTACGCTGAAATGACGTATAATGGCAAGTGACGTATGATGACAAATAAAATCTGCTAGTAAAGGAAGTCTGCCTTTATGAATGAAAATTATATAAATTCTATATTTAATTATGATTATTTATCAAACTATGTTCCTTAATGATACAGATGATATCTGAATTATTGAATTTTACTTCGAACAGAGAAAGAGAGAGAGAGATACGGGCAGAGGCACGTTTCTGTCCTGGTGTTGTTGTGGGGCATGAATTGCCAGCCGACCTTATCAATGAAAAAAAGATACTCTTACTCAAATTTCGTCTCGTTTCAAGTTCAAGTTATTTTTGTTAAATAAAATTTATATTGCAGTATTACGAGCCAGAAGAAAAGAATTAAGCTTTATATACGGATATTAGTATCAAATTTGGGTCATACTGTGATCAGTTCTCTAATTAGTTTTTTCATGTTTATTAGGCATTAGAATTCTCTCTGAGAAGTCATACATTACATGGCCTGGAGATCGGTGAACGGCTGTGATGGCGTCTCATCGCTTGTTTAAAGGATGTGGTTTCATGCATACACATTAAAGGGTGCAACTCGGAAATGAAATATATGCCTCAAATTGTAATGACCGCTCTTGGTCATGCAATAGTTTGCGATTTAGCGGGTTTACACAAAATCGCCAGGGACCGCATTCGTAAATCGTGTTTATATAACCCATTTCTGAACTTATTCCGCCATAGTAGGAAACTTGGAAATAGAGTGTAACAAAAATATGTACATATATTTTATCGTGTAAAGAAAAAGAAAATGCTGATTTTTTCGCTCGGACTCGCATTGTTCTGAAAGTCTTGTGTAGGTAACCGGCGTTTCACCCTCTCGTCCTCAGACTTAGGTAGAGACTTCAGGGTATGAAAACAATGTAGCAGTAATCTTGCTTCCTATGACAAGTACATTAAAGTGGCCTTTCCAGAGGACACGTCTACTGTAGATAAAAGCAGGTGGATGAGGGAGGTCAGCCAGCTGCCGCTCCCCCAAGAAGAAGGCCCGCTAGACATGGTGCAGGGTAAATGGGTATCCTCTCGCTACGTCTATGTATGACGGGAACAACAAAATTACGTGGCCCTGAAAGCTAATGGCACTTTCGCGGGGATTTCTCTCCAGAACAAGGACGACTATTGGCCTAAAAGCAAAAAATATGGGGAATACCTGGTTACCAGGTTTCCGAAGGAGGCTGCCGCTGAGGAAGCACTGCATCTTCCAGGTGTTTTTAGAGGTCGGAGGATTTACAAGGACGGACAACCCTTAAATAGGATCATCATTGTATGGAGTGGAGAACATCCACCACCCAAAGAGTACCAATTCTTTAGACGATACATAGAGTCGAGCTTCATTCGACCGTGGAATGGTCTGCTGCAAGTGCCACGGTTACGGCCACATAGCTAAATACTGTAGGAAAGAAACAGCCTGTGCTGTTTGTGAAGCTCCTCACCAGACAAAGGACTAGCCTGCAAGAAACAACGAGAAGGGCAACGACATCGGAGACACCGTCAACACCGTGAAGAGGTGCGTCAGGTGCGGAGCGCAAGGTGTAGCGGCCTGGCACCGTAACTGCCCCCACAAACCGTCACACGCACCTTCCGACCGTACCCATCGACCGCAGAGTGGTGATGCCCAACCCAGCCACACCCCACCCAGTGCCGTGTGACGTCACCAATCCACAGGAATTCCCACAACTGCCAGGGGGATTCCCCATCCCAGGAAACAGGGCCATAGGGGTGACCAGTGGTGAACAAAACAAGGAAGTGGTTGAGGAAATAAGAAGCTTCAGGCAAGCTTGCTGAAATGAGAAAAATGGTTATGGAAATAAAAAGTGATCAGGAAGTAGACAGGGAAAATATGCTTTCTAATGATGTTAGTAATGATGAAAATACGAATGAAAGCATCAGGCAAGAGCTTGCTGAAATAAAAATAATGGTTATAGAAATAAAAAGTGATCGGAGAGTAGACAAGGAAAATATGCTTTCTAATGATGTTAGTGATGCTGTAAATACGAATGAGGTCTCTAATAATGTTACAGAAGGTACTATCGATGAATCATCTAAAAACGATGATGGTAGTGACATTGAAAACAAGGCCGACGGTGATATGCAGGAAACGGACGAACTGTGGGACATCACTCAGAAAACGATATAGATATTATACATATAATATCAATATGAGGAAAACGCGCAGAATCGGTGTAAATAAACAAGATGCAGCACAGATATATAATGCTGTACAAGAAATATGCAGTCTAAAGGGCTTCATCACACACAAATTTGACCAATCAGCTAATCATAGGGTGTGATTGGGACCAGAAAAAATTACCTTTTTTCTCATGGAATATACGTGGTGTCAACTGTAGAATTAATGACGCTTTACTATATCCATAACAATAATGTTAACGTTGTCTGTCTACAAGAGCCCTTCACATCATCCACTAAAATAAAAACCGCCTCTAGAATTAGAAGGTACCACTTCTATGCGAACACAGGAATGACAGGCCTATTGACTTATGTATGTGACAGCATACTGCATAATCTAGTGCAGAGGTCTGATGACAATAATGTGCAATATCAACATTTACATATTCGAACAGCCTCTGAGTTTTTCTCTCTGTACAATGTATACATCAGGTGTAGAAAGATTCAAACTGATTCACTGCCCAACTTTCAGAATCACGGCACAATATGCATGGGGGCTTTTAATGCTAGACATTATACATTTGAAGAAAGGCTATGCAATGAAAATGACGAAGAGTTCCGAAATTTTGTGAACAATAGATCTCTGACCGTATATGATACAGACAGGGAACTTACGCGGCGGGAGGCAGGCTAGATTATGTAATAGGAAGGGATCTTGTGCATAGAAATGTCAGAAGCATGCTTGCAACAGAGTTAATCACTTTGCAATAGTAACAAGATACGCTGTTGATAATAGTCTTTCTGCCAAAACAAAAAGGCTTAAAATTTCTATTCCTCCTTACCTTGAGCACTACTTTAAATCAATGGTATAACGATTACTTAGTAACGAGTGTTGATAATATTCTCCTTGAGCATGACGAAAGTGGTCACTGATTACTACAACAGCCGGGTCTGTCCAAAGAAAACCTTCAAGAGCAACAACTCACAATGCTCAAAACAACCTAAGTGGGTCAGTGACCCTACACAATTAAGAGAACAAAAGCGAGTTCAGGAGCTTTTTGATATCTATAAGCAGGACAATACCCATGACAACCTTGTTCAGTTTCTCAAGGCTAACAAAAATCTACGGGAATTAAAAACTCATATCAGAAATAAACACTTTGAACAGTTGCTACAAAGCATTAACAATAACACCTCAATGACTGAGGTCTGAAAAAATAAATCGACTTTCATTCAAACCAACTAACCCCGCCGTTCCATAGTCCTCTTCAACAAGCAGATATACTCCTTAGTCAATGGGCTGGAGCATCCCACAAATGTTCAGAACCACCTTAATCAGTCAGATTGCACGTAAATTTGCCATTGAGATTGGATGTTCTGAGACCGACCCTTCAGACTTTGCTGAGATTACTGAGTGGGAACTGAACAATACACTGATCAAAGGAAAAGTGTCTGCACCAGGTGAGGATGGAATTACCTATAGTGTCCTCTACATAAACATTATGGATAATTAAATTTTATTGAGAATATTAGTTTCTCTAAGGAAACTAATAAGACCTATGTAAAATCCTCCCCCAATACATTTTTCAGTGTACATGGGGAGACAAGTACCTACGTCTTTGGTCTAGGAATGTTGCACATCTTTCCACTATATATGCGACCGTTAATGGCTCTTGGCATTCCTCACAGCGTGCTTCACTTTTAGCCATCATTGGCCAATGAGTCACTCTTTTGTGCCCAATTCTCAGCCTTGTTAATACAACTTCTACTTGTCGGTTGGGATGGATGCCAAGTTCATCTCTAATCTCTCGCAATTTTTTTTCTAGAGGTATGCCTCCATTGTTCCCTCCATTTATCACGAAAACAACAACTGATGCTGGGTTTCAAGTCAGTGTGTGGGAGAGGAAAACGAACATCACAGGGCTGAGCAGCAGCTTCATTTATTCAGTTCATTCCCACTAATACAACATGTGCTGGCACCCAAGATGTAAATAATTCTTGACAATCTCACAGCAAGGGCTCATGAGTGAATTAGTCATCTCCGCTGAGAAAACAATGGCTCTCAAGCCATGTATCATACCCCTACCCAATTTTCGCATAGGTGACCAGGAGCTTGACATGTGTCATAAATATAAATATTTCGGGGTGAACATAAATGATGCAGACCTGATCCTTTCCCTGAAGACGAGATTGGGAGAGACTGAAACCGTTGAAAGTTCTTGTCGGAAGAGAACATGGCATCAATGTTAAGCTCACTACTGTTTTACTTGGCTTTTATAAGATCAATTGTAAACTACCATGCACTGCACTAGTTGCAATGCAAGAAATCAGAAATAAATAGCTTGGAGGTAGTGCAAAATATATAATGTATATATATATGTATATATGTAATGTATATATCTATATATATATATACATGTATATATATATAATGTCTATATCTATATATTTGTAATGTATCTTTGTACCTTTGCCACAATCTGTATTTCTTTTTCGACGCTTGATGACACCTGTAGCCAAACCAAGCTTGGTCCCCTGGTTTTGTGATGTATGTCCGTGAAGGGACGTATTTCTCTTGCACTTAAGCGAGGAGGTTGGTGGTGGAGGATGCTTTGTTGTTTGCATTCCCCATCAGGAGAACATCCCAGTCTTGCGACTGAAGTTCTGCCTTCATACTTGGCCAGCTTGCATGGTTCCAAAGCCATATTTTTCTGTCTCCTTTCGTCAGCTGCAGGGGCGAGGCAAAGTTGATCTGCAAGGTGATCTGATGTTCTTATTTTGCCGAGCGATGAGCAAGAGATAAAGTCCTCAATTAGATCCGATATAACAGGGTCGAGAGACTTACCGAGGATGTGCATCAGGAAATCGACGTAATCTGTCAGCCCATGGACTGCAAGAAGGTCCTCATGTGCTGACTGAATGAGATGGTGATTAAGGTCCCCAATTATTAAAAGGTGCTGACAGTTGTTCGAACCTGAAGGACGTCTAAATTTTCCGTTCGGAAATCCATCGGTGCCCTGCCTTGCCACTGCGGCCTGTAGTAAGCGCAAAGTAGTAGGGACTCATTTGACTTCAGCATGACCTTCATAAAGATGGCTTCCAGCCAGTACTGGTAAGTCAACTGTTAGCAGCTGAATTTGCAGGTTCTCTTTATAGCACACAGCTACATCTCCGAAGTTCTTTCCTGTTCTGTCTCTTCTTTGCCACTGTGGGTAGCCTCGTATTTACCAAAAGCAGGTTCTACCTCTGCATTAAGGAAAGTTTCAGTAGCCACTATTATATCGGCACTGATGTTGAGGGCCATGTGAGTCAACTCACCAATATTGGTCCGGAGGCCTCTGACATTAGCAGACAGAACTGAGAGATGTCTCTGCTTATTTTGAGGGGTTGTAATCAGTGACGCCATTTAGTATACTGACCCTTGGTGGCTGTTGAAGGTGGGATGTAACCAAGAAGGAACAAAGAGTTGATGAGTGGTCCAGTGTGGGGGTGGAAAGAATTAACGCTTCTGAAGGGGCGGAGATGGAAGTAGAAGTTGAGGTAAGCTGCTGTTTTCTGTGTTTGACAGCTTCGATATTCTAACGTAAAGTTTTTCAGCTCTCTTTCGAGTAATTCGGCCTTATCTGCCGAAGCCTTCCACCTGCAGCTGTTCAGGGTGTGGCCTCTTGCCTTGCAAAAGTCACAGTCCCGCTCGAGCTGTCCGCCGTTTGCAGCGTGAGCATACGGGAGGCTCTGGTCTCTTCTGTTGCGCTCTCCTTCCTCCCTGAATCTGCTGACGAGTCTCTCATTCCGTCTCTGATCGACTGGGAGGCGGAGGCAACTGAGTTCTTTGAGCAGGATTCTTTTTATCGATGGGAGTCTGATCCCACCAATCTTGAAGTGCTGGATCTTGCTGAGTTTGTGTGGAAAACTCAGCGGAAGCTTTGCAGTTGCAGCTTTAGATTTCACTGAAGCAAAGCAGTCTGCAATAAGCTCCTTAGCAGAAAGGATGGTAGTGGGAAGGTCAGCCAGAGAAAGGCT